ACATTAGAAAATTTATTTTCGTAATTTTTTCGTCACGATACTCACTACTAAGTGCAATGGACGTGCTGAGTTTTTGTTTGTATTTCATTGAAGCCACTTTTTTTTAACTTTCCAATCGCCATCTGCCTTGTGGTTTCGTGCGCAGCGCTGTAGACATTACTTAAAATACAATTGTTGAACCCCTGGGGCAAAAGTCTATTCTAAACGAACAAAACTCTCTTTTCTTTTCAAGCATGAAACAGTAAATGGTTTGAAAGCTGAGTAACTGTTTATCTTGTGAAAAAATTTGTGCGATCGACTTTACGACAACATTGGGAGTAAATAGAAGTGCTGTTTGAATAACAGGAATGTTACTGGTGAGACTGGTTTTCTCGAACTGTGAAATCAGTATCCATGAGCCTTTGATGTCTTACACAGCAGTTTTTTCCTTAACACCTAAGAGAACTTGTAATATTAGCATCAACTATTCTCAAAAGTTTGACTTTCAATAATAAAAGTAAATGTGATGATAGATGATTCTGGAGTTTACAGCGATCAGCAATAAACCATTCATTTCCGCATACCCCTCCATACGAACATTTTTGAAGAGTGATGCACACAGTTCTAATGCTCGTGAATGTTTTAGCGAAAAAAAATTCGATCAGTGAAATTGGTTGAACAAGGAGCTAAATTATCAAGGTTAGTTTTAAAATAAAATAATCAGAGCATAACAATGACAAGTCAATGCTGTCTTGAACAAGTCAAAACAACGAAGACTTCTATTGTCTTTGTGTCACTTGTAGTAATCATGCATTTCGGATGACTATTGCAAATGTAGTCAGAACCATTAGCAAACGTGTTCTGCGTTTCAAGCTCCTGTAATCATATCCAAAACACACAAGGCCTCAATTGCAACAAATGGTGTACGTCCATGGCCTCCTATACTACTAGTTCCGCCGGTACTGGCTTTCCTACCCTCCTCGAAATACACGTCGTCAAATCATTGCCTCAAGGGGTACAGCTGGTTGATGTGATCAGTTTCCATAGGATCAGTCATTGAAACGTGAATGAAGCCGTTGGCTCATTGTTTTCGATACTTGCCTTTACTCGTACAGTAGAGGAAATAATGTAAAAGCGCATAGCAAATACGCATATAAATAGTTTAGAAAAAAAACACAATGATATAAAGCGTTCTGAAATCAGGCAGAATTCGCCTCTAATGGGGCTAACGTTGACGTTCTTTGGTTTCGTGTACTGGAATTCAGTCTAAAAGTTTGCTCAGTAGAATCTCGGATCTTTGTAAAAATACTTCCTCGCCCTCTTTAAGCGTTTTTGTATCAGAGTAGGAACGATTCTGTAGAGTAGCTTGCTGGGAAAAAGGTATTTTAATTTGCGCTTCAGAGCAAACTTTGGTTAACGCCACATGCGCCAAAATTGACTTGGATCGTTGCTAATGGCGAGGAAATTGTAAATTAACCGGGTTCTTTGCGTTTTCAATTCTTTTGACGGAATTTTCATGTACAAGTTTGAAAACGCCTTCAAGACAAGATATTAATTATGAAAAACATGGCTCGTTTAGCAATTAAATTGACTACTTTACAAGTCCCTTATTAAAAAAAGTTGGGCGACGGAATAAAAAAGGTTTGGGTTTTGTTTAGCTCTAACTTTATGTCATTCAAAGGAAGATACTAGAGATACTAGCAGATTAATCGTAAACTTTCTTGTAAAAGTGACCTTTCCGCCAAAGAAATAGTTAACAGGCAATATTGGAAACGAAGAAAACGAAGCAGCGCGTTTTCAAATGATCCGACGTAATTTGCAGCACAGTAATCAACTCAGCTTTTGTAATCAACTCCCGCTACTGCAATGCTACGTCGTTTAGTAAAGTTTTCAACTATTTAAGTGCTTTTCACTCTCAGTTAGTATACTAATGGGAAAGTAAGGGTCTTGTGGGATCATGTACCTCGAGATTTAAACAACCAACAATATATCCAGGAACTTTAAAGCTTGAACTAAAACTGAATACACACGTCATAGTCAAAATATGTGCATGACCTTATACTACAATAGCTCTATGTGTAATTCAAAATAATACCGTGTGATAATGCTCAAATGAGGTTATATGTGTAGTTAATGGACCTAAGATTTCTTGAAAAAATTAGATTAGAGATTCCATAAAGAGGCAGGTGGATGCTTTTTTCCGTGTATGTTTTGGCGAACGTTCTATCACTAGCCTTAACCAAAATGTGGATCTTTGGTTCTTCTTTCGTCTTCTTAATTTGTGTAAATCTGTTCGGTAAGTTTCTTGTGATGAACCTTCTTGAATAGGAAACATTACTGCAGTGGCACGAATATACATTGCTTAGGGTTAGCTTAGTAATCATTTCTTAGCCCGACGCAACACGTTTGAAATTTAAGGTGTTCAGAAAAGCTTCCGATAGGAAAGACGTTATCTGGAAGGTTTCGATATTCACGAGTTAAGCTTCATGGCATCTCTGTCAAAACTAATTTTGAGCCCGACGGTGGACCACATTCAAATCGTTCAAGGCTGCGGCCTTGATGTTTTTCATTAAGTTAATGTTATTTCCTTGAGCAAATGCAGGGTGGGAATTTTCCAGTTGTGGTGATTTCGTTTTATATTATTCCAATACGTTTTAGTTCTACAGGTAAGTTTCTGGTAGCGGCTGTAATTTCTTTGAGTAGATGATGTAGCCGCATGCAAATACAGTCACTGACTTGGCTGGTTATATTCATTAGACATTATAACTACTATTAATGGATTGTTGACCACAAACGTAAAACAGCATAAATTTCCCTGTTACCAGCATAATTTCCATTAGGAGAAATAGTAAAAGACTATATTCAGAAAAATTATGACATTTAGGAAGACTACGACTTGCAGCCGGCAGATACTAAGCAAAACAGCTCTTTCCGTTTCCCTCGCATTTACAAGTGGTTTTAAAATCTTCCTTGTGACTTACTAATGAGGATTGCCTCGGGGTTTTCAAATATTATCCTAAATCAACAGCGTCCCCTGCTTAGGGGAAAGAAATAGATATATATCTAAAGGTTTAAAGACAATTCTTAAAGAAGAAGTAGAAGGAGTAGTAGCGTTTCTGCTTCCAAACAAGATCTTTTAAAACGAAATGCGACAATGATATACCTTTTATATAAAATGACCTCATTGTGACTATAAGCGCTCATATTGGGACTTGGGCTAGGTAGAGTCATTGAAAAGTGACGAATTTTCGATAGTAAATGAACTCAGCTTATTCCATGACAACTAATTGGCAGCTAACTAGGCAATCACTTTCAATTTATTCAAGTTTTATCGCGTGTTTCGCTCGAGGCCAAGTTTCTAAGCTTGTTGTAGACATTATTCCAGAAGTGTGCCATTGACTTTGCAAGGTGGCAAACCTATGTTGTAATTTGTTTCGGTTGCCAGTGACAACACAGGAGTAAGTGTCTAGTGAAACAAGTACAAATAAGTTTCTAATGTGAGATTTTCTACGGGAAGATGTAAAGGCTTACGGTAAGGCTAGAGAAATTTATCCACGTATATCATTGAGCAGTATCGATAATACACGGGGCTTTTCGAAGCTTTTATAGGTGTTCAATTGGTTACCAGAATTCCATTAGAATAAAAGCTTCCGAGCAACGCGGCTCGATTGCCCGTCGGATCTACATGATCATAGAGAAAAAATTCCAGAGCAAAAAAATTGTTGGTCGCGAGATGATCGCTCAAAGAACAAATCATCAGCCAAAAAGCTATTGCAAGCAGTAACTGTTGTTCTTTCTAATCGGTCCGTGCCAAATCATGCTTATCTCTTTATTGGCGTCGAAAGTTCGAGATTTATTACCTCGAGCCTCAGAGGTTAAAAAAAAACAAAAAAAAAACAAATATTTTCGTAATATGAGCGGCGGCAAAGATAAGGCACGGGTTCAAAACATATCAACAAAGCTATCTTTTTATGCTCCATTCCCCCCTAGAAATACCTTTAAGATTAGTTTAGGGGCGTGGCAGGTGAAGGATTGCCTCAAGACTGGCACAAAGCAGTCACTTGTGTGGACAGGTTTATTCATTAAATGTGGATAAGCCTTTTCTAAACGTTCCCATAATGTCGCTTTAATTCGTCTCCAAGAGAAGTGACTGTGAGGCCTGAAAGTTGTAAGTTCAATAATGGAATGGATCGCAATAGGCGGTCAATTCTTTAATCTCTGTTGGATTAGGTATTATTGGTTTTGGGAAGACAACACGAAAAATGAAGGGAAAGAGGAAAGGTACTCTCTCGACATTTTCTCTTCTCTTGGTTTTCTCATGCGACATCCGTTAAGAGCGCACTCCCTGAAGTAAATTAGTTGTAGTAGTTATTTATTTATTTTCCATTCTCAATGAACTTACAAGTTCTATCATCAAAACCTCAGTTTTTAGCGCACTCGCTTAATGAATTAGTTGCGAACTTAGATATATATTTTCCAGCCTTAATGAAGTTAAAATGCAAACTAATGTTTCATCATCAGTTTCAATTTTTAGAAATCATGAAACTGAATTTGTCTTCTATCGCGAATACCGACAAATATACTTCTACTTGAAAAAAAAAATTACATTTATCTTTCGTGAGGCACTAATGAGCTATCAGACCCAGATATTGCCAATAAAGTCACAAATATATAAACTAGCCTGTTCTATATAAAATATGGCACTTGTCTTACGCCAAGAAGTAATTTAGTTGTTATTGTTAAGGAGGTCATGAGTATACACAAGTAAGACTCGCTTGACTCTACTAACATCATAAGCAACAATCGACATTTGCACTTGCGCTCACGCGCAAGGCATTTTGAAAGAATGAATATTGGGACGGGTACGAATCAACCAGTGGTTCGGGTATGAACTTACTCAAACTGGGTACGAAACGACCAAATTGAAAATTTAGCTCTGAGCGATGGTTGCTGCCCTTTCTCACTTTGACAATAGCGTGCACCAGTAATTTGGCAATTTTCAGAATATTTTGGAACGCAAATTAGTCAAGCCTTATGAGCAAATCTTCGCAAGGGTTTCTCGAAGAAAAGACTCAGATTTATTAGTTCGCACACGGATACAGAAAAGTACAAAAAGGGTATATAATCCCTGCACAAACGGATAAGATACAACACCTTAATCGATTACAGTCACTTGACACACTGAGCTGTTATGTATTAAAAGAAAAGGTTTTTGCATCATCTAACCAGTTCCTGTATCAATAGGGTTTACCAGAGGTTTTCAGATTCTACATCTGTGAAACGTTAAGGGTAACGAAAAACAAAAACTGCTTAAACTAATCAGACATGTGATTGATATAAAAATAATAACTAGAGTGGACTAAACTCAGCAGCATTTAAAGTTAAAGCCTGATAGAAATTACGTTGACCGAGCGATCAAAGCTTCCCTACGTATGAGTAGATTATAATGGAAGTAGACACAACCAGCGCCAAAAACAACCAGAAGAAAATACGGTCGAGTGCTTGAGCGATGTCCCCCCAGGTTTTCTTGTCGACTTCTTCTTTAGAAACCGAGGTGGGTGGTGTTTCCTCCCCGTGGGTGTCAGCTGAAATCTGCTTATCAACCTTTTCTTGCTTAACATTAGCAGTTTCCTCCATTTCAATGTTTGTGTTTCTTTCCCCAACTTCAGGAGATGCACCGAGAGTAGGGCCAATGTGAAGTTTTCTTCTATTGTGTCTTAGGCAGCAACAAATCCTGTTAAACACTGAAATTTTATAAATTAAGCAATATTTTAGTTTCGCAAAATTGGTGGGGAAATATTTCCAAGTCACCTCTTTCCTGTCAACCGCCGAGCACTAATATCAATGATGTATGGTGCAACGTCCACCTTTAAGTTCATTTGTTAATTATAGTCATGACCGAGATCAGAGGTGTTGTTTGTACAACGTCTGTCACTATTCGCAATTTCCTTTCTCGCTGTAATTATCATCATCGTTATCATCGTCACCATCGTCATCTTCATGAATGTGATAAATTCACCGTGTCATGAGTTACCATTGAGATTACTACTGTCACTTACTGACTTTGAGTTCACATTTTTCTATTTTACTGAGATGGACAGATTTTCAGTTATTAACCTCACCTGTTATCCAGGTCAAGATGCTGGGTGGCTCAGAAGTCGCGTGATGAGCCATCATGACAACAACTGTGACAGTCAGCGCCAGACCGATCTCAAACATGATCACAATGTAGTAAACACCAATAATGGGCAACTCGTCGGACTGTTCCGGAAGCTTATTTACGACGACGAGTAGGTACACACTGACTGACAGCAGAATCGTTGAGCACAGTCCGATCCTTCCGCCGCTCTCCGTGGGAATGAAGAAACTCACAAGAACCAGCAGCCCAATGATCATGCAAGGAACGATGGTGAAAAGGACAAAGAACAAGGGTTTACGTCCAATACGAAATGATACTTCAACTTTGCTGAAAATCGGTGATTGCTTTTTATCCTCTATCTTGATCTCAAAGCTTCTTAGAGACCAATAACCATTAGATGCCGAGAGATTAAGCTCTAAGTCATGAAAAATAAGGCAATGAAGGATATATTTAATTGCACTCCTTATTGTTTTTCAAAGGCAATAGTTTATTTGAGTTGACTCAGGACCTATTTTCTTCAAATTGTCACACAAATATTGCCATGTAATCATACCTTTCTCAGGATCATCGTTCTTGATGGGTGTAGTGTCGATGTTCAAAAGGGTACGATCAGCAGTTACTGAACGAAAAACCAGGCTGCACTTCTGTTTGTCAAAGGGAAAGTTTTTGAAACTAAGCGCACACTTGCTTTTGAACGTTGCTGGAGATAGCCACGTGTTCTGACCACCGCTGTTCACACGCACCCAACTTCGGAATTTTTCCACGTGCCCCGCTTGAACGACCCCACGGTCGGCACTAGAGGTTGGAAGAAATGGATTTGTTGAGAGTGTCAGTAATGCTTATGTTAGACTTTAAGGGTAAAGAAGCTCGAGCAACTCGCACAAACGGAGTCCCCTAACTCACATGACGACCAAAACAGGATTTCTCCTTCCAATATTAACACAATATCAAGCAGACAAGTGATGAAAATGAAGAAAAATATCAATTAGGGGATCATAAGTTGATCCAATACCAAATTCTCCAAACTAACATGACAAGAACTGTATGGCAGACAGTAAGGAGAATTACTAAGGACATCTTGGGAATTAAAGGGTTACAGACTCTTAATGGCTTTTTGTCTGAATGACTAAGTCTCTGTTTGTCTCTAGTTCAGCCCTGAGTACGCGCTCTTAAATATTCCATCAATAGGCATGTTTGAACTTGCGGGACAACTGATCTTGCAAGAGTAATCATATTTTTAGATCGTTAAAAAACGATTTCACCTCACATTCGAAATGAAAAAGGTCCAGCACAAACTCAACACAAAAAGCAACAACGATTATCGTAAAATAACTAAGACCCATTATAATGGTCAAGAACACATCACTCTGAACGTAATGTGTGGTCTTGCAGAACATGAAAAACCAAGGCTCACTAGACTCGCACAATGATTTCAAGATAATCTAATAGGCCTAAACAATCCCCAAACTCATGGCCAGAACATTCCTAATTTTAGAAGTTCATAACACTTATACCCATTAAAGAACTGTGACTCATTATGAGCTCACGAAATTTAAATTTGGTTTTAAAACAACTTTGAGTCCAGTATCTTGAATCAGACCCAGAGAGGAATGTGCTAGCCGCATCACTGTATGCCCGTTTATTCGTGATGAAAGTTAAAATGCTCCAATAGGAAGTCCTCAATGCTAGCTTTGTGGAGTGAATTCATGGTTGCATAAAAAGTAAGAAAAAAACATTCAGTTTCTTTTTATGTTTCTTTTTCTTTTTTCTTGATTTTTCATTTAATCTTTTATTTTGAAGTCCGAATACGATGCAAAACAATCTCGCAGTCTAAAAATTTGGAGTGTATTTTCAATATTGATTATCAACTGAATAATACTTGCACGTGCAAACCTCCTTTTACTTGGTATGAACACTCGGGCATTTCAATCTTTCCCGACGGTTTCTTTTAGGACACTAGCTTAATGCTTGATACTTCCAAAGTGTCATGAAAGCCTCATCCTTGATCAGCCAAAGGCAACATTTATTTACTTAAATTGCTACAGAATTCAACTTACTTGTTTTCTAGTACTATATCAGGTACCCAAACTTCTCTTGGATCCACAAGTATCTGTGCTAAGTTTTCATAATTCAAAGGATCCCAACGTAGGTAAGGATTATTCCATTCCTGTACGCCAAGGAATAAAATTATAAGACTTTGTGACAACTCATGTTTGGTCATGAGCTTAATCTGTTTCCAGTTGACCTACCTACCTACTGTTACTGCGGCATTCCCACTTTGTGATTTTTTTCTTTCTACGTTCCTAATTACATTTGTGTTTTTGAACGCACATTTTGCTTATGTTTTCGCATTCTTTTCACTCGCGGCGATTTGTATTCTGTTAGATTTTTCCCATAATTCTGCTTTGTTTAATTTCATTCGTAAAAGTTTCTCAAAAAAATTGAACATTGGAGTGTCAGAGTCCATTAGGTTAACATCGATTCCTTCACTGTGATCATCTTTTAGTTTTTCTGTCCTTCGTGCTCGCAAGTCACACAACGTTTGTAAGTGTCTTTCCTTGTTTTGCGTTTTCCTATTCCTTCTGCTATGTAATAACTTGTAATTATTTTGGATATATGAAATTCATATATTTGCACTGCAGTGAAGAAACGAATTTAAGAGATCCTCGCAGCTAAGAACACTACCGAACTAGTAGTTGAAGATAGGACCTGAAAAAAAACTCAGGCTATTACGGGATTGGAACCCATGACCTCTGCGATACCACTGCAGCGCTCTACCAACTGAGCTAACAAGCCAACTAGGAGCTGGTTAACATGTTGGGTCCAAATAAACCATCCAAGTGATGAATAATGATTTTGCATGTATGAAATTCATATATTTGCACTACGGTGAAGAAACGAATTTAAGAGATCCACGCAGCTAAGACCACTACTAAACTAGTAGTAGAAAATAGGACCAGAAAAAAAATTCGGGCCCGCACGGAATTTAAACCCATGACCGATGCAGCGCTCTACCAGCTGAGCTAACAAACCAACTGGGAGCCGGTTTTTTTTTTACTACTAGTTCAGTAGTGTTCTTAGCAGTGAGGATCTCTTAAATTCGTTGTAATTATTTGTTCCCTTTAGCAACCACGATCAACCGTAATGTAAATAAATTTTAAAGCGTTCGCGTGTTGAAACCTAACTTTGTTGGCAGTCACAATTGCGTTGTGTTAAGATCTCCATATGACCCCTTGTAAGGTTGCACTTTTCCTGATTTGAATCATAACGTACCTGCGTGATCACTGTATCTGCTGTCACAGTTTGTTCTTTATTGTCCTGTGTGCAATAGATAAAAAAGTTCTTACTGGGAGAGGACATTTTATCTATAAATTGAGGGTAACTGAAAATGGAGGTACCATTGACGTTTTAAAATACCACGGCTGTTTAGTTTAAGAGTGATCCGAAAATCGAAATTTAAAAAAATTAAGCCAGCCAGCAGATACACTTCTTGGAACATTATTCTTTGATGTTACAGAATTTTTTGGCTATTACGAGGTACATGTGGTTGTATTCAGTATGACGGACGCAGAACTACGTTCACACTATGAAGATGTATTTATGCTCAACATCTTGTGTGTTAGGGCTTAGATCTAACTCTGATGTGCTACTCGATGAAACAAAATTTAAGGAAAATAAAAAGGTCAATAGAATCATTGTAACTTGAGACATGTGGGTAATCCAACTTGATGTGGGTCTGACGAGGTGGACAAATAACAAGGGTACAGGAGTTAAATTCTGGATCCAGGATTTGACGTGGGGCTCCCTGTATTAAGGTCTACCCTTGTTGCCACAAGAAAAAAGCACCTCTACCTAAGTCTTACAAGTTATGATGCATATTTTAGCTTTGCTAGGTTACCGGTACAAGTTAATTGCAGTTGATGAGGAATGCACTTTCTGGAAACACCGTTGTAAGGTTTTGCTTACCACTTCGGCGAGGGCCAAGAACTGCACATCAAATTTGACTTCAACAACATCTGACGGCTTCAACACCGGACGTACCATTTTGTCGTACGAAGAAAGGAGGACATTCCTTAATCGATACTCTACTGACTGTGATATATTGTGCTTCTGCCCTACCACTGCTTGAAAATAGAACAGGTTTAATAACTCACAATAATTTCAGTTTACCGCACTGTTTCTGAGACAAATTCATATTAACTGCTACCCCGCCGGCAAAACAGTTGAGCAGCATTTTAAGTTATCACTAAGTTTTTGCTTCAAATCAACTTTTGAATTTCTTGTCAACAAAAAAGTCTAACACTCTTATGGAAACTTCCTATTTTCCCTTTAAGGCATGTCCTTACCTCGGTCACTTTTCGGATTGCTATTAGAAGCATAGATTTCATGTACAATCACTTTTTTTTACAACGACATTCATTACTTACGACACATAAACACTATTACAACACATTACCTACAATACATCACTTACGATACATTATTCACAAAGAACTGCTTAAAACTAAATTACAAACTACTGTGAATGCTAACATGAATTGAATATAGAATTACTAATATTACTAAAATCAAGTCCATCAATCAATTATTATTTTTAAGAAGTTGCTCAGCACACTTTATAAATGCATGCAATCGAATGTTGATTAAATACTTTTATCTTATCGCTGGTAGCGCCCGTGGGCAATATGAGGCGAAAACTGTGTTCTGATTGGCTACCCGAGCCCATTTTTCCCATTCAGGATTGCCCGCTTTGATCCCATGCAAGAAAAACATTGCATACTAAGTTCGTTATAATTTGTCGGCGAAGGAGTCGCATAAAGATCCTTAAATTTGTTGTGCTTGATACTATGTGTTTCCAATCGGCAAGGAGAGAGTAAAATATACGTATGAACTGGAAGTAATCTGTCGTCGAAATGGTGGAATACCATTTCTAGGTCTTGTAAGATCAAAATATCAAATAATTCTAGCAGACCTTTGGCTTTACTGACAAGTTCTCAAAGTGTTGCGTTTATTTGAGCAAGCTAGTTTGTCGAAAGGAACATGAAAATAAATTCCACTCATGGCGATTGCTGTCGAACAATATTGACAAATTTTGACATAATCCAGTGCCGATTTCTTTACCGATGTTAATTTGTCACATATAAAACCAAATTGATTCCAACTCGGAACAAGAAATAGGATCAGTGCCACAGGAGAATTACAGTCTTCAGTGGCTCGTCCCTGTGCGAGAACTTCACAGAAACAAAAAGATGAATAAAAACCTTCCCTTTTCACCGTCTCCCGGACAATATCACGTTTCCGTTTGAATGTTACTATGGAAATTATCTTAGCTATGAATATAAAGTACAAATAAAGTTTACACAATTACCCTTCAGGAAATTGCAAATATTCAGTTGGTTCTAAATTTAGTTGTCAAGAATTGCGATTAATTTGTAGATGTTTAGACCTTGTTTGCGGAAGTTGTTATCGTCAAATGTCTTTTTTTCGTATCTGAAGGGCTCTCCACCTCCTTAAATTACGTCTTGCACAAACATGATAAATGAAGCCTATGGCTTAGGCGCAATGGCCAAAGTTTTGTTAATTTTGCGAAAACGGGAGACAAGTTTTGTCAAGCCTAACTTATCTTCAAAGGCACCGTCGTCCTGCCTCGGAGCTCAACAAATTTGTGTCAAGCGTTGAAATCCGACGGGAGCCTTTCAGGCGGAAGCATGCCAAAAATAACTACTTTTACGCGGCTATCAAACGGTAAATATGGAAGACTTGTACCTCGGGATGCTGCATGACGATCAGTATTCAGGGTACTGAGAACGCAACAAGTTTATGTTAACTCTGGGTGTAAACATGCAGCTCTAGTTTGGGAGTTGCAAAAATAAAGTGAAAAGAAAAGACTTACCGAGCGAGTTTGCACAAATGAACAATACGAAATATACATGTGCGAGCCACATCTTCCTTTGTTGAAGTAGAGAGCTTTACCACTGCTTCAGTTGAACTCAGAGGCTGAATAACAACAGTTTCAACCTACGCCTTAAATTGCATCCGCTAGAAGAGTGCTTGTTATTTACGCAGCGACCGTTTTGCCACAGATCATTGATTCCTATTGTGCCGCTTCCATAATATTTCGTATTCTCTCTAGACTAATTTATGTATTTTAACTCATTCAATAAATTCCTCGTTGGGAAATTTTACGTCCTGGCCTTGCTGTCGCGATGAAAAAAAAATGAACCATTGAGTTTAAAGGACGTGCAGATTTGTTTGCTTTTAACTGAAGGCAACGTTTTCTTTCGTTTCTTTTTTTTAAACCTTATGCACCACCGTTGGCTTGCGTTTTTCTTTGCCATCATTCCAAACACATCAATTATCTTTTACGTGCCTGGGGGAAAATGTTTTCTTGATGAGTAAAAGGCTTTATTCCTGTGTGCGCATGAAATAGGAAACGGTTTGAGGGTTTTTGTATTCGCCTTTGACGTACAAAAGATAGTTGTGAATGGCTAACGGCCTTTCAAAAACCTTTAGAGAGCAAAGAGAAGTAGACGTAAATAGAAGCTAGTGGAAACTAGGAGAAAAGAGAACTAATGTACGCATAAATGAAATGTTACAAGTGTTGTTGTTTTTCGCCAAGTTGCACGGTGTCGGTTCTAAGAAGCCCCCTGATATCTTTCACCGAGGATTTACAAAACAATAGATGGTATCAGGAAGGAAACTGTTGGTATTTTAAGTAGCTCGTCTTTCATTAAAGTAATAGTCATTATAGATGATTGTCAAGGTTTTCATGGAGATGTAATGAATCATTCATTTCCCCAAAACTTGCAGCATCATCTTCGATCAATGATTCTCATAATTCTAATGCCTTTAGAGGGTTTAGGGCTGAGTCGGCTGAAAATGCAGCTAAATCAGCAAAGTTTGTTTTATAATACGTAAATAATAGAGCATGACAATGACAAGTTTTGGCGACTACGTCAATTTTGGCAATCATTCAAGGCAATTATTGAAAAGGTGATCAAAACAATTTCCAAAAGTTTCGTGCTTCTCCGTCTATATTGATCGAGGCTGAGTAAACTTCGACAGCTACAGATGCTGTACATCCAGAGACTCTCATGTTAATAATTCCGTTGTCACTGGCTTTTTCATATCTTGCTCATATCTTGCTCGAAAAACATGTCATTAAATCTTCGTCGCCAGAGGTATTCTTTATTGTGATTAGTTTCCGTAATCAATTCATTGGAACGTGACTAAAACTCGGTTGAATCTGTTCTTTTGAAACTTGCCCCGACGCCGTAATCAGTCGTTTGAAAACAAATTAAGGGGGGTAAAATTTTCTTTGGTATGTTGCAGGAAAGCAAACCCTCGTTTGATTCCCATAAGTCGCTGTGAAATACCTTGTTCCCGAATGAAAACAGCTTTTTAGGATCAATTATTACCGGAGCTGTCAAGATACGGACCCCAGATCTAGTATTTATCTTTTTCATTGAAAAAATGTTAAAGCTCAATTTTTTTTCTATAATCCTCGAACGTGGAAATACATACCACGAAGAACCGAATTTTCATCTTTCAAACTTTACCAATGAAGATGCTTAGTTCATTTCGCAAGTTAGGAAAATGGGGACATGAAATCGTTTTTGTCCGAGGCTATTTACTTCCAAATTGCGCAAATTTCCCATCGCGCACAAAAGTTACAGCATAAATCCGTCCAAGGATTAGATCCCAGCTGCGCAGTTGATCAAGTTTGTCTGGAAATTGGGAAGAAGTGTTGAGAGTGAACTTTCATTTTTCTTTATGTCCGAGTAACGAGTTAATTAATATCGCTCCAGAGTACCTGAAAGTATCCCGAGGCTAAGTTTGGGTCTTGAAGAATTAATGTCTTCACGCCTTCGTGAATTGTAACTACGGAAACTGTGGTTCCTTCTAAAAAAAAAAACCGGAAAGATACCAGGGCACTAAATTGTTAAGACATTTGTTGACTAAATAGACTTGTTCCTTTTCCTGAAAATGACAAAGTACAGCAGCTCCGTCCGATGAAAATAACAAAACAGATCAAGATGACGGGGAGATCCAGTTCTCACAATTTTATTATATTCGCACGAATAACACTCTTTTAACGACATGCCTCCCAGTTAAATTTTATCTCAGCTCTAATCTATGACACTGATTAAAAATAATATTGGCACTGCTCAATTTAATTTCACTGATTTTGAAACCAGCTATCAACTTGACATCCAACTTGGTTTTTTAATTCAAACTTTGAAACTTCTGAGAAGCTGACCGAAGAATATCGGAGTCAAAGTTATTTTGAATAAGTAAGAAAACTCATTTAAATGACAAATGATTTTTAAAATTAATATTCATTTTTGAGCTCAGTCTCGCACATGGAAAGAGCTTACGACCTACAAGAAATGTCAACGTCTTTTCCAGCTTCCACGGATTTAACAAACACGTAATTTTAATTCTGTTACCTTGGATGTCATCAGTTCTGAATCGAGTGGCTATGAAAGGGAGTCGAAGATTCGTGATTTTCCTTTTTGGTACAAAGTTTCTTCA